AACAGTCAGCAATAATTTCAATACATAAGTGGTAAGTAATGAAAAGAAGATATGATTTCCTGTCTGTCAGTGGTCTGACTAGTCATAATGAGTAACAGATAAACTGCAAGACATCATTACTCATTCAGCCTTTCAGTTCATATCTGATGATAGTCAAGTTTTATTTCCTTGCCTGGCAAATTCTCTAGTGGTTCGGTCAAGTGAAAAATTAATTTTTATTTTTACCAAGTTGCAAGTGCCACACAAGAACTTAATGTTTAAAACTGTTGTAATCATTTGTGCATCAGACACAGGGCAAGTTTAAAAAAAGTGGACCCGAGTTCGACTGGACAATAAAAAAGGTTCATAGTATTCAGAAAGGTCAAACAATCTGTGTAAACATAGCAAAACTTCAGTAAATATGCCCAAAGTTTTGAAAATGAAGCAGCTGTCTCTTCGAGCTCAAAAGATGACATAAATAAGGAGAAAGATTTGAACAGTTTCAAAATTGAGGTGACCTAAATTGTTTCTGCCCTGAAGAGGACTGCGGGTTCATTAGAAGAATCATGACTTTCCTCTAAAAAGGTGTCACAGGTGAAGTATCCTAACAGAAAATTAAAGAAAAATCAAAGGAGCCATGAAAAGAAAAAATATTCAATTTAACACACTCCAGTGGGAATGACAGTTCAGGGGATGAATAGATGCCACCATAGTTGAAACAAAAAATCATATAACAAGAAAAATAGAGTGAAAAGGTTCAAATTCTGAGTTTCTTTTTGAAAGAGCTGGTCAATTAGGAAAATTGACAAAGAGATCAAAACCTCCAGTTATATGGTTCAAGCAACTACCTCCTGCAAACAGCAGAAATGGTGACGCAATTTTACGTATACACAATGTGTACAGGTTATGCTAGGACTGTGTTCATTAAAAATACAAGATGTGAATTATTTTCAAAATTTCACTCTTTTTATTCAAAACAGTCTCCTTCTGAATCAATACAGAGCTGGAATCGATTGAAAAGTTTTCAAAAACAGTCACTGTACTCCTTTTGTGGAACCGCATTTAAAACTGTGGTACATTCCATTTGGATGTCCTAGATGGTGTCGTGACGGTCTCCTTTCATTGCCAACTTAACTTTTTGGAGCAACCAGAAATCTGCTGAGGCCAAATCTGGAGAATACGGAGGATGATCAAGAACCCTGATCCCTTTTCTGGCCAAAAAATCGCGCACGATCTTCGATTTGTGGGGTGGGGCATTGTCGTGGAGGAGAGACCAGCAACCTTGCTCTCGAAATTCAGGTCGAATTTGAAGAATTATCGCGCACAAACGATTGAGGACTCCGAGATAATAATCAGAATTTACTGTCTGACCTTCTGGCAGAAATTCCTTGTGAATGATTCCTTTGGAATCGAAGAAAACAGTTAGCAGTGTCTTTACTCAACTCTTCTGCATGCGCACTTTCTTTGGTTTCGGCTTCTTTGGACTCAACCATGCTACACTCTGCCTCTTTGTGAGAGGCTCATATTGAAAACACCATGTCTTTGCAGTGTTCCTCTCTGGCATGTTTTTCATCGCCTGACAGCTTGTGCGGTACAAATCGCGTACAGACCTTCCGTTTACTCAAATCCTTGGCTAAGTTTGATGCACAGTACTTTTTGGTATTCCCAAAAGCTCCTTGATGAGTCTTGCAGAAACGCATCTGTATGATGCAAGGATTTTGGTCATTTTTTCACATTTTCTTCAGTGTGACTTGTTCTCGGCTTTGATGCACGTGGAGCGTCTTCAATGTCCTCCCTGCCATCATGAAATACAGCATACCTTCGAAAAATGTTCGAGCGACTCAAACAATCACTACCGTACACACTTTTCATCATTTTGTACGCTTCTCCGGCTGTTTTGCCTAACTTCAAACAAAATTTGATGTTGGCCCTCTGTTAACGATTTTCCAACGAGCGTCAGAACAGTACTGTTACATTCAAGGTAAGAACACACGATGTAGTGATGCTTGTGCTTTGAAATTAGAGACAAGCACAGCTGAAACTTCAATAATCTTAATGCCACAACTCGCCAACACATGGCATTACAAGGCAAAAATTTAAAAAAATGAGTCCTAATGGATCCTGGACAGTCCATGTATGAGGAAATCAGCAGGATCATGCCAGGGACAAAAGATTTCTCTTTTAGCTCCAATGGTAAGAAGATTCACCTTCAGAAATAACTGGCACTGTGTAACCTATAAGAGGCTTATTTCATTTAATTCTGTGAAGCTGATTGGCTTTTCAAAGCTCATAGAGCTACAGATAAAAAAAAGTGTACTGGCTGGAATAAGTGGTATGCATATAGTCTGTGTGTGTACCATTCATCTGAAACATGATTTCAGGTGCAAAATCATATGATTTGAGTTAAAAGTAAGTAACAGGACCTGAACCAGCTTTCAGCATCTCAATTGGAGGTGCCAAAGAGCAATCAGGGACTGCACTGAGAGAAATCATAAAAATACTGGGAATCCATAATTTGACTCAAAGAGGCATAGAGGTTTATATCAGGACACTCTGCCAGAAAAACAAAGAATCTGTTGAAATTAAACAGAGATCAACTAAGATGGATGGTAAGATTACTTACTGGACACTGCCATCTAAAAGGACACCTTTTCAAGTTGGGACTGACAGATAACCCAACTTGTGAAAGGTGCCTACAAGAAACTGAATCAGCCACACACATCCTGTGATTGTGAGGCCAGAGCTTATTTAAGATTTTGTCACTTGGGTCACTTTTTTATGGAACCAAGTGACTTTTATGATGCCCATATAAGCACAGTCTTGCACTTAAAAGTGTAGGATTAATAAAGGGCTAATACAAGTGGAAGCACAACAGATCACTGAAGGTCGCAGTGTGGGCAGAGGGTCAGTTTTTATGGCCCACCCCTTACATACATTACATTACATTAAAAGCAAGTAAAAATTTATGCCTGCCTAAAATTATTTGTAATGTGCCACATGTAATTAGCTACCAGGGAGACTGTGAGATGTGTCTAGGGTCTGAGTACCTATTCAGAAGTACTTAACAGAGATTTGCAGACAACTTGTACAAGATAACCTGAGAGTTAAACTCTGTACTGTTTCATCACTCTTTTTTAGCACAACAGCAATCATGTTAGTAGTTACTATAGGATTCTGACGATGGTGTATAACACACTGATATGTTGGGTTTTTGGACTTTATCCATCGTCCTGGTTTTTAAGATAACAAATAAAAACACGACATTTCGGAAACTGGATCTTACAAGGGTTCCACGCTTGTAAGTGTTTGCTACAATTTGTTATGAATATTTTTCATATGAGCTCTCATGGACTTAGCCTGGTCTCAGGTTTTTATAATCTTTGTGTTTTGTGACATCGGTTTGTCCAGTGATTGAGGCTAGCTCTTTCTAAGGGACCCAACTGAATAGGTGTTTTCCTTCACCTGAGGACGGAAACAGATCCAGTTTCCGAAACGTCGTGTTTTTATTTGTTATCTTAAAAACCAGGACGATGGATAAAGTCCAAAATCCCAACATATCAGTGAGCAATCATGTTTCTACAAAGAAGTGAAGTGAGAATTTAAAATTTGAGAAACTGCTGATAAAGTGAGATTTTTCTGGAAAAAAAAAACACCATCATACAAGAAGTAAGTACAAGGCTTCCTTCTAAACAGTGCTCAGGCAACTCTCTGTCCATTTGCAGCTGTTATTCACAACATGAAATGGTCGGAGTACACTACTTTTGTTGTTATATCATACTGCACAAAACTTGACAGTGCAGCTGTGACATTGTTTCCAAGCAAATTATGCAACCTACTTTTTAGTGAACTGAAAGATGTGACCAAGACTTTCTATTTTTCTGATGGTGTCACCTCAGAGTATAAAAATGCAAAAAATTTCACCAACTTCTGCTACCACAAAAGATTTTTGTATCATTTCTGAGTGGCACTTCTTTGTACCATCACATGGAAAAGGTGGGTGCATGTGATGAGATTGAGGCTAGCATGAAAGGAAAGCCTGCATATCATGACACTAAGACAACTTTAGGTGAAGGCTACTGCAAAGATTCCATCCCTTTCCAGTATTAAACTGCTGAAGAGCACAGCAACAAAATGACAATGCTCAAAAAAAGGGTCAGGAAAGTTCAAATACTTCTGCATTCTCAAACAAAAAGTTCTGTGAAGAATCAATCACCTATTTTGCTTTCACCACACATCTGAGTATTTAACAGGGGGTAACTTGTTAATATGACAANCAGTATTAAACTGCTGAAGAGCACAGCAACAAAATGACAATGCTCAAAAAAAGGGTCAGGAAAGTTCAAATACTTCTGCATTCTCAAACAAAAAGTTCATTCAACCATCATTTTCGCATCCGTCTCTATAATTGCAGCTTGCATGTGTGTTACAAGTGAATGACAGTGAAATTCAACCAAAATTTTTCCCTCCCCCTGATCTCAGTAAATCTTTCATGCATTCTTCATCACCAGATGTTATGTGGGTCCCAAAACTGGAACAGATTGCACTTATGTTATCAGTGAAAAGGAATCTGTTTGCGCCACTGGGAAATTAGAAACAATGCACTGTAAACTGTAAATAGCTATACATACGGATATTTCTTACTAAAATGAAAATTTAATTTTAATATTTTAATATTTTAATGAATAAGCCTGACATGACTATTTTTACAACAGTATGTATGCAACCTGTAAATATGAACAGATATGTTTCTCATTAACCCATTTATGATCCAACTTTATATTTTCCAAAAATGGACTTCATGAAGTGAAAAATGACATTGCTGCACATGTTACGCATGGAAAATTACAGACTGCAAGATACATTACACTGAAGAGTATATCCTTAAATGGTTCACATGATAAACACCACTGTTTATAAAATAAACCATTCAACTGCAAATCCAATTCAGGATAAAAATATTATGACAACTTAAAATACTGAATATAAACAAATATTACTGGTCTCAAAGTGATATACTTTACCACTAAGATATTCAATCCAACTTTGTACAGTTTCTGGTGGATCTGTATCCTTCATGTGCTTCAGGGCCTCGTCAAGTAAAACATCTCCTGTCGGTGTGTCACTTTTAACAAGTAACTTGCGATTTAGGAGACTCTTACGCCTCATGCCAGCTTTTTCCAATTCGATGCGACCACGAATTCCCAACTCAATAAGGATACACCCACGCAGTCCACTAGATATGCAGTCATTCCAAAATGATGTATAGCCCTTAGAAGAGAAGAAATTACACAGTAAATAAACAGAACATTTTCATCCATTAATTCTGATGTTATAAATACATACGTCATACTGATTTTATCTACTACGAAAGAATGTATATAATTGCATCGTATATTTCGGAAAGGGATACAAAGTAACCGACCTCTTTGTCTTTCAGTCCTAATAGAAGAACCTCTTCCATAAGAGTTAGCCTAGTTTCTTTCGAATCTCCATCTTCTAAGTCTTCGTCTCTCTCGGTGGACTTCTTGTCATCAGAATCAAGAGAATCTTTGGACACACCTTCTCCATTTTCTCGTGACACGTTTCGTCTTTGCACCAGTCCTTCACTACGATTCATGGTTAAAAAATGCTCGAATTCAAGTATAATAATTACTCAAAATATAACAGTGAACACAACGAAAACGCGTCATTAACACTCGCTTCCAGGGGTTCGATTTACACCAACACTTCAAGTATTACTTTCTTCCAACATGGCGTCTGCTGATGTTACAAACTCTCAATCCCAGATGCGACAATACTTGGAGTTCGAGACTATCGTTGCTAGGTTATCATAAACTTGCTGTTACTGCAGTTTGTGACCTGAACAGATATTTTGAAAACCTGTAACCAAACTTCGTTTCTAAATGTCTTTAATCGCCTACACTCTGATCAAAGGAAATTCTGCTATTGAATCTAGTGAATGTGAATTGAATTGAATCTAGAGAGCCGTTGCGTAGACAATGCCGAAACAACGAACGCGTTTCTCCGGAGATGAACAGAAGGCCGTTGAGTACCAACGGATGAGACGAAACACGTTACCGCCGTAATCTAGTTAGAAGTTAGAATTCAATCAAGAAAAAGCAAATATCATGTTGGCAAAATTATACGCCGATAGGAAAACTGATAAAGACGATATGCTGAAAGAGATGAAGGCAATGCAAGAAAATAGGAAGACAGACAAAGAAGATTTAATATCCAAATTAGACGCCAATCAGGAAAAGGCGGCGGCCGATAGGAGGGCCGACAAGGAAGAAATCAAGGCCGAAATGCGATCTATGCGGTCAGATTTGGATGATAAAATCCAACATAGAGTTGAAAACATTTTGGCGATCGTTGAACACGACAAACGAAATATCCAGGAAGAACTAACGAAAACCTGTGCAGCAATTGACGAAACCAAACGCGAGTTCCAGGCCCGGTTGGACATAGTGCAAATGAAGGCGGAGCGGGGAAATACGTCAACGATCGTCGCGAGCACAGCTCAGCCACCGACATTCAACGGGAATTCAACGTGGAGCGTGTTCCGGCGACAATTCGAGACCGTGGCAGAACACAACCAATGGTCGGGCAGGGAAAAATCGACATACCTAATTACTGCCCTGAAGGGTCGGGCTGCGGAAATACTACCCGGCATTCCGACAAATACAACTTATGAGGAAACTCTTCAGGCTCTAGAAGACCGTTTCGGGGACCAACACTTTGCAGCTGCTTACCACTGCCAATTAAGAACGAGGACGCAGAGACCTGGAGAATCCCTGCAAGATTTTGCCACGGCCATTGAACTCCTTTCCCGTCGTGCCTACCCCAGTCTACCTGCTGACAACATAGGAAGGGAGGCAGGAAAAGCCTTCGCATAAGGAATACGAGATGCCTATATAAAGTTCCAGCTACTGCTGGGAGGGGAGAAGACGGTAAACGAGGCCCTCCGACAAGCGTTAGAGCTTGTGGAATAACAGTGGCCCGTTGCTAGCATTTCCTAAGCAACAGATGAAACTAACTCTTCGATAATGTATTCCCTATCCCGTCCGTGCGCTTCGAAATTTTGACTCAACGTTGCATTCGCAGCAGTCGTTTCAATAGTAACGCTAGAACAGCGTATACTTCCATGGAAACGCAATAACAGTGGCCCGTTGCTAACATTTTTTTCTTCATCAGTACAATCGATCTGCTTTAGTTTATTCAAATAATGCCTCGCAGAAGATCAAACTTGGGTCGTCGTACTCGCCGAGCCGAAGCAATGCGTCGAGCATTTGCAAATCAAACTGGAGAAGAACGGGCATCAGCGAACGAGAGAAAGAGACAAAGACAGGCTCAAATACATGCCGAGGAAGCAGCAGAGCTACGTGCAGCCAGACTTGAAGGTGCAATCGGAATTGGGCTGTGTCGTTTACCATAGCGTTCATTTCGTGAGTATAGTTTATTTTTCATTGTTTTTCATTTCGTTTTCTTAACTGTTCTCCTTATTTTTCAGTGCAATTGGAGGTGGGATTGAGCTGTGTCGATTGATCTGCGTTTGAATTGAAATATTTCGTCCAAATAATGCCTCGCAGAAGAACAAGCTTAGGTCGTCGTACTCGCGAAGCGGAAGCAATGCGTCGAGTAATTTCAAATGAAACTGGGAAGGAACGGGCAGACTTAGCCACAGCAAGGCGTGGCCGGGCACAGCTAGTAATTAATAAAATTCCTCACACCAAGGGAAATCCAAAAAGCAATACAAAAAATCTCAACCCAAAAAAAGCCCCTGGATATGACCTACTTACAGGGAGAATTTTGAAAGAAATGCCAAGAAAAGGCATTATCCATCTAACACCTAAATGCAACGCAATTATCAGAACGGGATTTCCCAATTCAGTGGAAAAGTCGCGTAGATCATAATGATCCCGGAACCTGGTAAACGCTAGATGAAGCCAGCTCATGCAGGCCGATCAGTCTACTCACGACAATGAGCAAAATCTTGGAGAAAGCTATGCTCAAGAGATCACGCCCGACACTAGAAGAAAACCGAACCCTCCCGGACCCTCAGTTCGGATTTCGACAGAACACTCTACCGTCTTACAAGTACGTACACGTACACCGAATTACAGAAATAAGAAGAGGAACTTCAGAAAAAAACAGTATTGTTCTGCGGCGTTCCTAGACATCAAACAAGCTTTCGATAAAGTATGGCATCCAGGCGTCTTGTTCGAAATCAGAAAAATCCTTCCCCATGCATATTACAGAATATTAGAATCATATCTAACAGAGAGACCCTTTCAAGTAAAATTCAAACAGGAAATCACAACCTTGAGGAAAATTGAAGCAGGAGTACCCCAAGGAAGTGTTTTAGGACCAGTCCTATATCTTATCTACACAAACGACCTTCAGACATCAGACAGCACAACAACTGCTACCTTCGCCGATGTTACAGCAGTCTTAGCCACACTTGAAGTGCCAGCGATAGCCTCAGTGAAACTCCAATTCACCATCAATTAGATGGACGATTGGGCGAATAAATGGAGAATTAAAATAAATCAAACATATTCATTCATATTACATTCATCCTACGCAACCAAACCTGTCCGACAGTGCAAATGGGCAATGTTGCTGTACCCCATAAAAGACGAAGTGAAATATCTGGGCATGTATCTTGATATAAGCGCGCCATAACTCAAGCGGTTAGTCGCTGGCTTCCCACGGCGGCGGACCGGATTCGATCCTGGGTCTGGTCAAGTGGCATTTGTGGTGGACAAAGTGGCCCTGGGGCGGGTTTTCTCCGAGTACTTCGGTTTCCACTACCAATCTTCATTCCACCAAATTCTCTATCATCATAATAACCCGGGGTAGGTTACAGTAGGCCAATCAGTGGCCGCTGTGTCAAGTGAACCCAGTTGGACTCAACCCGCCCCCCACTAATCATATAATCTTGATAGAAGACTGACACGGGCAAAGCACATTGAAACCAAAAGAAAACAGCTCAACCTAAAAGCGAAAAAAAATACACTGGCTACTCTGAAAAAGATCAACAGTATGAACAGAAAGCAAACTCCACCTGTGCAAATCAGTACTCAAACCCACATGGGCCTATGGAATCAGCTATGGGGGACAGCCTCTAATTCCAACATCGAAATCCTTCAGTGCTTCAAATCCAAGACCCTCTGATCAATTCTGAGCTCACCTTGGTACATAAACAACCACAGGATCCACGAAGATCTACAGATGAACACAATGGTCGGTGAAATAAAGAAGTGGTATAACAAATTCTTAAGAAAATTAGAAAACAACACTAATGCACTAACAGTGAACCTACTAGGCAATAGCGAAACACCACGTAGACTGAAAAGACACTCCATCTTAACTGTACCAGACACACTTGACTAAAACCACCAACACAAGAATTAATATGATATCTAAAGGAACAAAAGAAAAACGAGTGAGTTACGCCACTGAGCATAACTCATTCACGAGCCAGTACTTATTGAACATACATGTTTATTGCAGATTCTGCAGATTAAGTATATTAAATGTGTGAAAAAAAATGGTTCATTTTAAGTTAATAGTAATGACAGTAATGGGCTAGGTGGTACTAATTTCTTTTCAAGACCGTTTTCATGATTGTCTTCATACGCTCCTCGCCAATGAAGCTCGAAAGGCGGCAGTTGAAACCCATGAAAGTGATAGCTCTCTTATATTTCATGTTTCTGGAAAAGATTCAATTATTCTTGAATGAGAGAGATAGCGAAGATTTACTGATACACAAAGCACGAAAATTATTCTGAAACCATTTGAAAGAGGTAACTAAAATCAGCTACCGTTACGTTGAGCACTGTACAACAACTTGGAGACATCTGAGGCTCTGATAACAGTGACTATGAGGAGTACTGATGGGATAGCGATGACTACGGTCTGGACAACCGAGGGGTCGGGGTTCGAGTCCCGGCAGTGTTAAGAATTTCCTCTTCTCCACGTCGCCCAGACCGGCTCTTGGGTCCACCCAACCTCCTATCCAACGGGTACCGGGGGCTCTTTCCCTGGGGGTAAAACGGCCGAAACGTTAAACTGACCACTCACCTCCAGCTAGTACCGAGGTCAAGAAAATGTGGATCTATACATCCACTCCCCCATACGTCTTCATGGCGTAGTGCTTAATTAGTTAAGCACAAGGACAACTTTACCTTTTTTACCTACTGGGATGTGACAACCATATATCTCTGGAAGTTCACCGACGTTTCGAAGGAACACAGTTTCTCGACCTTCAGATTTGATGGGTAAGCCAAACACTTGATAGTAAAAGAGAAACAGCTGCACGGCTTTCACTTTGCTTACTGCTGCTGCTTGCTCTTCTTACTCATCAACCCTCAAGATGAAGGAAGTGCGTTCATTTGAAACGCTGATGAATTTTAATTGGGCTGCAAGGTGGTCATATTCCAGAAGATTGTCTAACTTTTTTCAAACAAAGTAAATATGAATAGAAGTATTAAAACATAATTAGATCTACGATCAAAGCGTCCATGATGGTGTAATGGGCGCCCAATGAGATCCTACTATACTCATCAACAATGATTTCTGAACAGAGGTCATAAGCATATAGTATAGACTTGTAGTCCGACAGATCTCTATCATTGTTGTCATCGCCGTAGTAGCCTCCTTCTCCTCCTCCTCATCATCATCATCATCACCACCATCAGTGCTTTTACCAAGCATTATAACTAATTTTTACCACTTCTGTACATAAAATATTCACGAGCATTAAGAGGTTGTATGTGTGATGTCAAGAGTCTCTCCTACCTTACTGACCAACCTCAGCTTAACGTTTCATACTTCCTTACCACAAATGAGATTCTGGTGATCGTGTCGTGACAGAATAATCATTACATATGCAAGGAGGAAATGAAGAGTCTAATTACGTAACTTGGAGTCAATGCGCTATGACCATTACATTTGTCTTAGTTCAAACTAGTTAATTTTAAAATATGTTTCTATAAGTTCGTGCTTTGATTGGATTATTTGATGAGAAAATTCTGAACCTGTCAATCATCATCAGCATTAGATACTCTCTGTGTCCTGACTGAACGAAAACTATTACAAATACACCGCCATAACGACAATGTGCAGTATTTTGTAGGCTACATACGACGTCAACATGGCAGGCTGTTATCAAGACAAGTAAGTGGCACTGATAACTACTAAACTAGGGTAAGTGGGATGGGGGAATTCGGGGTTTACTGACGGTTGCTGCATGTAAAACAAACTTCACTACCTAACGCAATATTGAGCTGGAACTTTGACTACGATCACAGTACGAGATTTGTAGTTTCACCCTTCGACATCTCGAAAGGACTTTGAATTAATATATATATATTGATGCTTCCGATCTCCTTATCTCCACTTACATCTAATTAACAGAGATGCACCTGTGAAAGGCTAGGGCTAATGAATACAACAGAAAACCTGTCGAGTATCATACTTGATAGGCTATAGAGAGATCCACATATCTACCGAAACTTCGAAGACAACTACCAAATTAGGACAGCACAGGCGAACCGAGAGAAGCCTGAAGCGGCACAGATTTAGGGACCATACGTTGTAGTTTGTCTCCCTTTCATCTAAATGAAAACTAAATCCTACTGTTGCTTCTGTTTTTATCATTACCATCGTTTAAATATGTCACCTAACAATGCACAACAAAATTGTATTAGAATTGGTGACAACAATGATGGTTCTCGTCAGTGCCTAGAACTTTCGTATCATTACGTCTAACTGTGACGAAGTTTCAGAACAGTGATCTATGTTTAACTGATGAGGAGGGGGGGCGAGCGGAATTTCATGGTGCCTGGGGCGACATTTAAATTTGCTCCGGCCCTGACTTTTATTCGAAGTTATGAATTTCTTGCATGATATAATAATGACGAAAATGATGACGACAGACTGATATTGGCCACTTTAACAACAAAGTCTTAATTCAGTTCAATACTTTTTATTTACGCAAACATACAAGAACAAAAGATAAAAAATAGCCAAAGCTTCTCAATAGGGGCACGCGGTAGCGTAGTTGGTTGAGGCACTATGCTACAAGCCGGAAGGTTGCGGATTCAAGTCCCGATGAGGTCATTGGATTTTTTCAATTGACCTAATTCTTCCAGCCGCACTATGGCCCTGGGGTCGACTCAGCCTATAACAGAAATGAGTACCAGGAATATTCTTCGGGGCAAAGGGCGGCCGGCGCGTAGGGCTGTCAACCTTTCGGCCATCTATGAGCCGATTGTCTGGAAAATGTGGGAACCACAACATCTCACAACCCTATGGACCTTCACGGCCTGTTACAGGGTTACTTTTACTTATTTTTACTTTACGCGTATCAATAATAATAAGAATTGAACTGAATTCAGTTCTTACTTATTTAGTGAAAACTCAAGAGCCCAGAGGAATAATAATAATAATAATAAAATTCGCATAAAGCCAATCATTCCTCAACGTGAACGCCATACTCACTTGACGAATATGAACGAGGCTCTACAAACTGGGTCATTATGAAATAACAGTTAGGCCTACATCCGGCACGGAGGTGGTGACATTGTGAAAGATTAGGTTGTGGCATAATTGGGTAGAGTTTGAAGTTTTCGAATATGATTTATTTGTGTTGAGAATTTTATGAGAGGTGCAGTCGTAAACCCAATAACCAGACTAGTACATTATTTTCGTTTGATATACCTTTCACACGTGAACGGATTTCATGGAGGTAGGCCTAGGCCCACTGGGGCTGTAGTGCCAAGGGGGAAAAAATACCTTTTACACAAGATCCTCGCAAGCGGTTACAAGCTTGTTTGGTCAAACCTCAGTACGTTGGAAGTAAATATCCATGATAAAACGTCAAGGGCTTAGCACCTTCATGCCCGTCATGGCACTTCGTAGTTAGGTGTATTTGTGTTATGTGTTGTTGTGGAATGTAGGTGATAAGTATGCGAAGTTAAAGGATATTTATTTTGGGTTGCCAGAGTCTGAAAGCAGTGACCGGTTCTGCTACGCTAAAGTAAACCGTCCGCCCCAGTCGACACTGGTCTACTCTGTGTGTACTGTGTGCGTGCGTGCGGGTCTAACTTGTGGAGCCTGAATTTCGAAGAGTTTCGCCATTTAGATTATAGATGGCACGCACTGTACCAAGTGAGTGCGTGAAGAACAGAGATGTCATCCAACTCGTGGCGCCAGATATGCTTGGACACTGACGCGGAGAGAAAGGTGAACTCAGAGTGCTCAGAGTAGCACTTACAGACGTTAAAGACCTTATCGGCGAGTAGGAAGTACATTACGTACAGTATTTCGCGGTAGGCTGTGTGCTGGCTGGGTCTGCTCTTCTTACACTCTGCGTGCACAACTCACATGTCTTTCACAGGTAAGTGCTACCGGTATTAAAAAAAAAGTTCTGTTCTGCCTGGAATCTGTTTACAGCTTAATATGTGAATGTATTCAAATTACTTGCCTTATTACAGGCACACAAATAAAGAAAATATCATTCTGCAGACAGAACTTAGGAGTTTAATTCTCATAACAGGTGTGAAGGGCGAAGCCTTCGTTTCCATGTACTGGGATTTATCATTTTTCGTTTGAATATTAACTTACATTTTCCTCGTAGTCTTTTGGATGGAATTTTGTAGAGTTACAAAAATGCAATATATTCAGGTTTTGGAAAAAGGCACGATATTGCAGGTGGTACAAACCTTGAAACTGAATACTACTCTGAACTATAGGAACTTGCACGTCAGAAACATACCTTCACTCCATATGACTTCAATATTGTGGGCCAAGTGATGACAGGAGACCATCCCTTACGGCAGGCATGTCCAGCTTCAAAGAGGTTGTGATCGACTTTTAGTGTCAAAACTGCCAGTGATATACCACCCCCCTCCTATCGTCGTGCCTCGCTTTAAGCAAAAATGTTGGTAAAAATAACACGACACATGATGTTTGTTGTAAAAGCAACATACATTGAAAGTACAGACTACTTTTAACACGTATTTTCCATTCAAAATCTGAATATAATCATATTATATTACAAGTGAATTTACATGCTTTTCACGTATAATTTCCTTATA